CTGGCTCGCTCTATTAGTACCAATTGTAATTATAAGTAATGGCTATTCAATAAGGTCATAATATGTTAACAAAAGGATTTATTGTTGTAAACATTTGAATATAGTCCGTTATTCAAATTTGTCACGTAAGATTATAGCTAAGATTATAGGGGATTATGTGGGGATGTGGCGACCGTTGACTGTATAGTGTTGTTCATTTTATGTTTGACCTATTTGGACTGAAGATGCCTGGAATGTTATATTGGAAATCATGTTTGGTAAGTACCACAATAAAATAATTNTTATTACCACAGTAAAATATTTTTTTTTAATTTAATAATAATAACCAAGGGTTTTATTTGCCACAAATATTCTTTCAAACCCAATTTTATAAAATTCGACACTATTTATTTTTCAAAATAGATTATTTAGAAGTAAATTTTCTTAAACCTCGTGTATCGTGCATTTTATATCACCTTATAGTATCGAATAAAAGTAATTTCATAATATATAATAAATAAAGGGAAGTCGGGCTAAGCCGATCGAAATAATAAATGTTATGTTATAACATTGTTTGTTAATTAGAATAAAATTATGCCATTATAAAAATATGTCGATCTAGTCGAACGGAATAATAATAATAAGCCATAAGTATCAAAGAAAATAGTTAATTAAAATTAACATTATAAGTAAGCCATAATTTTCAAATAAAATAATTCAAATATGCCATAACGTAATTTATCGGACTGGCCGAAAATAATTATAAAATATATATATGCCACAAATAAAATTAATTATCGGACTTGCCGAGAATAATAATAAAATATATGCCAAAATCAAATTATCGGCTTTACCAAAAATAATAGTAATATAACTATGCCACGAAATCGGTTATACCGAATAAAATAATATATAATAATGTTCTAAGTCGGACTTTGCCGAATTTAAGTAAAAATATGCCACAAAATAATAAATAAATCGGACTTGCCGAATATAAATAAATATATGCCACAATATAATAAATCGGACTTGCCGAATATAATTATAAAATATAATAAATAAACAGACAATGCTGTAATGTGGCTGGGGCCCCAAAATAATAATATAATAATAATAATATAACAATACTATATATTTCAATAGTAATAGTAATAAGGACTTATTTTTTCTAGCTAGAAATTACTCACCCAATGGTCGACAACAAAGGGCGGATAGAACATAAAATTGCACGAATCGTGATAATTTGATGTCTCGGTGATCAAGTCGCTACATACGAAATTATACGAAGATGTTGAAGTCGTGGTTTGGATGTTCTATTAAAAGGGACTGTGGCTCAAAATAAAATGACAAAAGTCATGGTAATGGTCGTGACATTGACCGTGGCTGTGGCGTGGCGGTGGCGTTAGTGATGACTGGCTATGAATGGCTATAAAAAAATGGCGAGATGGCAAAATGGCAATTAGGTGAATGCAACGTATACACTATAGAGGTTAATAATTGACCTAGTTATTCGATTACTTGATTATCTGACTCAAGGATAAACAAGGGAAATTAGGTTTTAAAATATTGAACTAAATAGTTATTAGGAGTAAGTCTACAATAATCGAATTTTATTCAAAATAATTGAAAACTACATATATTATAAAATATATATTTTATAAAACTATATTTTACAGGTAGAATGATCGAGATGTAGATCGTAATTCAAAGTAGAGAGGTCCTGTGAAAGCGAAGAAGTCTTCGATAGAATTATTGATTAAGATGACCCGTCGAATGAACCTCGAAGAATAACTTCATTTGAATGAATAATTAAAAGATTTTAATTTAAGTAGTTTAAGCAATTTTTAGGATATAAGATTATATATAAGTAATTAGTATATAAGAGTAACACGATAGTTCATACTAATCCTTGTATCCGACAGGGGGTAATTTTAAAATTGGAGAGTGTCTAGATTTTTTAAATGTAACCTAGGGAA